TTCTTTGGTGATTTTGTTTTTTCAGTGGTTGGGGTCGATTCAGTTGACCCGACTAATTTATCAAATGCATCTTCTTCAGCTGGTGGTGTAAATACAGCACTTGGACCCTTCTCTATAAATTTCTCGATTTCTTCACAGGCTAATTTAAAAGATGCTGATTTATTGGCATTTCTCAATTCTTCTTTAAAATCTTTATATGGCTTAAGATTGCTTGCTTCTATCCAACTGTAGTTGTTGCTACCAAAAAAGAATATGCAATGATGAATACCACTCTTTTTAACAACAGCTTTCAATTCTTTAGTTGGTTCTGTAATGACGCCTGGCCATGGTGGGAAGCCTTTCATCTTAGCCCAAACTAAGTCGTTAATCTTAAAAGTGCTCATGTTTTGTAGTTGTTTATCTAAAAATACGGGTAGAACACTTAAAATATAAAAAAATCACTTTTACGGCGATATATTTACAATCTACCAACAAAAAATATTATAACTTCAAACTACAAGCAATAACACCACTGTTCATAAACAAGTAAACACAACAACGCCACCAACTCGACTACCTACAGAGAAGCGCCGCCATTTACAAGCAGCTCTACAGCTTGGCAGTAATCGATAGTAGCATACAACTTTATTTCGATAGTGATAAATAATAAAATGAGTTTTAAAAAACGCACTGCTAAGATAAAAATCTAAATCACTTTGCCAGTTATTACTCTTAATTAATTTTACACACATTTATAACAAATTTAATAAAATCTCAAAACAAAAGTCGACATCGAATGAAAATTCAGTTGATTTGAAATGATTAATTACATAAAAAGTTGCTTGGTTCAAAGAAATGTAAAAATAAAGTTACTAAAATTTAAAATTTGCCGGTTATAAATAATGCCAAAGAGGTAGAGGTAGGGTGTCGTGAAATATGAACTAACCTCACAAACTCAACTGGGTGTGGCTATGGATCAGGACGCCAGTTATATAAGCATCGTCTACAAAGAACGTTACGTAACAAACAAAATGAAATAGTTATTTATATAAGCTACGCTTGATTTATTGATTGATGAAAAATATGATAAAAGAATAAGTTATTTTAAAAATTGTTGATATCATAAACATTTTCTTTTTATTCTTTCTTCGTAATTTAACCCAATATTCATGAATTTGTCAATTTGTTCATTCACAGTATTAATGTGTCTTTAGAATTTCACAAATTATGGGAAACACAAATATTTAAATGGTTTTTCCCAAATGCTAGTGTTTTTGTTTCTCGTTTTTGATATTTTCCATCTGCTGTAGGTAACTAGAGAAATAAAAACAAAAGTTGAGCTTAGCGTTAGTGTCGCTATTAGTAAAGTTAGATAATTGTGTTCTTCATAGGTTTTTTAGCTCTCAATATCTAAATGCATGTTTTTAATATACAAAGCATAATAGCCGTTTCAACATGATAATAATACAGTATATTTTTTTGTTGGTATTGTAGATCTTTTGCCGCCTTAACAAGCCTACTCCATCTCTGCCTATCATAGGCTATTTCTTTACAGTTATCTGCATGTAGCTCTCTATTGCATCTTTGTTGATTGTTTCTGTCTATCTGCTTTTTGTCCTTCTACGTGGTCTTTTGCCTACTAATTGTGCATTCATTGTCCTGTAGAAGCTTCCAGATGGATTGCTTCGAGCTACATGTCCCATTCTTTTTAACCTCCGTTTCTTCTTTCATGAAATATAAATTGATCAGTATCTGTAACCAGCTGTTTATTGTTTTTTTTTTCTGCTTGTGTTAGTACTATGATCCTAGATTGCTCCGGTTATCTTGAGGAGGATGTTTCTCTCAAATCTTTTATTATTTTTTACTAGGTCACTGGTTAGAGTTCAGATCTCACAGCCATATATTACAATTGACTTTATTACAGAATTTTAAACTCTCAATTTGATATTTCTTGAGATTTTTCGTGATTTTAAAATCTTTGAAAGGAAGAAGAAAGCTCTGATTGCGCTTGTTGTACGTTGGTCTATTTCCTATTACTAGTCATTAATTGAGGTTATTGCGGATCCGAGGAATTTAAATGTTTCTATTCTTGGGAACAATTTTCCTTCTACGCAGACCCTATTATTGGGGTGGAATTTTCGGCCTATTTTCATGTATTTTGTTTTGTCTTCATTTACTTGTAGGCCGTTTTGTTCTGCATCTCATATCAGAGTTTTAGTTAGTTTCTCAATGTGCTCTTGATTACTTTCAAGGACAGCTACATCGTCTGCATATTCAACGGTTTAATTATTCATTCCGAATTGCACCTCTCCATTTTGGTGTGATGTTCTTATCACCTTTTCCAACGCTAAGTTAAATAACATTGGTGATTGTCCATCTCCTTGTCGTAATTCAGCTCGAACATTGAAGACTTCGGGGATACTTTTAAGATAATAGAGGATCGACTTTTAAGGCGCCTACAAACAGAGTACAATATGTCTTGGCGATGCGATATCTCTGCCGGCGGCGATATGGTGCTATAGTTGTATTAATATCCATTGTATTATAACAGTCACACAGAGCGATACCGACAGCGCATACTGACAATGGAATACCGAGTCTCCGGGACATATAGCTTTCTGTGTGTAGGAGCCTTTAGGGTTATCTTTACACGCCTTGGTGAATCTCATCAACTTAAAGAGAACTATCAGTTCAGTCATGATTTTTCAAAAACATTTCCTGTCAACTACTTCCCATCGTTTTTCGAGTTTTTGTTTTAGGATGACGATCTGGTCTAGCGTGCTCCTTCCTCTTCTGAGCTTGGTGGTCGCCTATTATATATTCGTAATACAGATGTAGCCGGTTTAATAGAATATTGGATATTATATTGTAGGCAACCGCAAGTAGCGCTATGCCTATATGATTACTCTACTCATACATTGAGCTTTTCTTTGGGATAGGATAGACTAGGTCCGAATTCCAAGCCTCAGCGATCCTTTCCTCTTCCCATATTTTCTAGAATTGTTGTAATAGCTTGGATATTGAATCGTCTTCTCCATCATTACCGATATTTTTTTCAGTATTATGAATTTTTTTTTTGCTCTAAAACATTCACTAGATCTCACTGAGTAATTTTAACCAATTTTCTCAAAAAATCGTTAAATACCATATATCAGAAATATTAACACATTTTAAGCAATAATTGATGAGTGTCTTGAACCTAAATTGTTTCGAAATACTCATATGACTGTATAAATCTGACTCATCGGGATCTGACTGTATAAATTGAGCCATCAAACTTAAAAATCGCTACAGCTATTCACTCAAAAAATCATTACCTACAAGCACATCTTTTAGCTTGACCTTAGGGAGGTAATGTTTCATAAGCAATTAAGAATCATATAAATGAATTTAAATAATATTTCAAGTTATGATAATTATTTCAGATTGATGTTAGCAGTATCAGATTCATGCATAGGCAAGACCCTTGATACTATGATTAGCAAATTTTTGGGGAGCAGAAAATATGATTAAAATTATATTTTTAGAATCAATCAAATTTTTAGTTATAAAAAAAGCTCTATAAAGCATAGTGAGAGCTATCGGGCTGGAGCTTGTCCAAAATGGTTAAAATATAACCATGTTTTATGAAAAAAATATTAAGAGATAATCTCTAAAAATATTCGAAGTTATTTGGCAATGATTACTTCCAATTAGCAACAATTGAATATATTTGTTGTATTATCAAAATTGCATGTTTACAAGATTACGTTTCGGGATATTTACTCCCATCTTCAGAACCACAATCCCAATGATCTTGTGGATGCAAGGCTTAAAAATAATGTGCTCCATCATCAGTTTCTAATTCATGTTATAATAATCTAGGTATATAACATCTAAAGACTAAACATCTTGCTTTTAGACTAATTATTGGGTGTCTGCATGGGACACAAGAACCATTTAAACATCATTTCATATAGGTAGTTTCTTTCTTTATCTTCCAAAGTAATTATCATTATATATATATAAACTTTTGGGATGAAGCTCCCTCAAAAAGTAAATCTCTATAACTATATATACAAATATATATTAAAGCAGCTTTATGTTATTTTGGTAACACCAATTTATACTGAGAGTAATGAACTTCATGAACAAATGTTCTTAAGACCTCTTCCTTACTTGACATCTGGTTCTAAAAAAGCTGACTGACATTAACCCAATAGTTCTTTAGTTAATAAAAATTATTCTGCTTATACTCTACTGGTCCTTAACACTAGTAATGTGGCTGACTGACAGGCGCTGGGATTTCCTAGAATCTTGCCTTTCGTCCCACGTGTGGTTGAAAAAGCTTGGATTGGAGTTCTCTCGAATGAATGAATTTTGTTAACATTGTATGAACGTATGCATGTGTTTAAGTTGTTATTTAATTTGTTTGGCTCTTTTTGTTTGTAATTTACTTTTATTATTATTATTTTTCTGTTTTATTTATTTTCTTTATTGTATGTGCTCTGTATTGTATGTGAGTGTGAATGTGCTCATAAACACTATTATAAATGTCCTTAATTGTGACAGATTGTAATATTTCTCTATAAATAAGCTAAAAATTTATAATAATAATTTAAAGACATTGTTTATGTTATACATTTATTTATTATTAATTTTTTGTATGTTTTGAAATATTATATGCTGATATGAGTATAAAAACCAAATTTTAACATCGATTAGGTATTCTACAAATTTATATTTAATGAGGTTATTTCAGTCACTGTTCTTGTATGTTTTAAACAATTTTAAATTTTGTATCTATTATATGATTATTATTGATTTTTATGCAAATTGAATTTTCTTATAAATTATCATATAGCTAGCGTTACTTTAGTTTCAAATAAATTTTCAAGTATTGTTTATTTCTAAAAATGGGAATTTAGAAGGATTCAACTTATTTTATTATTGCAAGAATATTTTTTAATATTTTAACTCATTAGATGATTTGTTAAATAGTTTTGTATTTATAGTTTAATAATGTCTGTTTAAATTTTCAGAGAGGATCCAATAATGATAATGTCTTACCTCTAGATCCTGTCAAAAAACCTAAAGAAGGGGTTCAATTATATCCCACAGAAAGTCTCACTTACACTTGGTCTGGAATAAATGTCTTTGGTCGAGGAGAACCGAAGAAAAGAAAGATCATTAGTAAATTATTTTGCCGCAATACTGAGAGGTCCGGTAGGAAGCATATTCTAAAAAATGGTAAGTAATGTGTTATAAAATATATTTATTAAGATTAAGAAAAAGTGTATCCTCCCTTAATGAAAAAAAAAAAAAAAATGATATACAATTTGTGGAAATCGGAAACTTTATGGTGGACATTAATAATATATTTTTTTTTCATATTAGTGTTGCTATATTAAATGAATCACTATATGCACTGAAAAAAAAAAAAAAAAAAAAAAAGAAATGGAAAATTTTGAAGTAATTGAATCTGATAGATTACACTCATTATTTAATTTAATACACTCATTCCTATTATAGAGATCTGGATGAAGAACACAGTTTTATAACCACTATGCCTAAAAAATATTTGAAAAATCATTATTTTCTTTTAATGAATAAAAAGTGTATTTAGGCAATTATGTTTATTATAATGCATGGGAAAACATGAAATAAAAGCTTTGCAACCATTAATTGTAGTTATTTTTGCTGAGAACATGGGTATTTTGGGGGCAGGATGAAAAATCACTTAATTTTTTACAAAACTTAAGGTGAATCTCAATTTTTTATCTTATAAACCTCCACTTAATTGATATGAACTCAAAGCTAATTAAATAAGGGAGTTTTTCTAAAAGTGGGATACTTGTAGTATAGTCAGATGATGAAAAAAAAAATCGTGAATAATGTATAATTTTTTTAAAAACAGAACTTAACTTAGTTTTGCCTCAAAATTCCTCTTTGAATGATTTTAGCGATGACAAACTCTGTCTTCATTTACAGTAAATTTTGTTTAGTTTACAATGAAGCAATCTTTAGTTTCATTAATTAAATATTCAACAAAGAGCATGCTTTACATAAAAAAAAAAACAACTCAAAACTAGAATTTTCTATTTTTCTTCTGAAAATTGGTCCTTCATTTATCTAAACTTTTTTGTAGCTCTTAAGTCTGCTATCACTTCTATGAAAATTTCCCTCTACTTATGGGACATCCTGTATAAACATAATAGTATGCCAAGAAAAAAAAAATAAAAAAATAAAAATAAATAAGTATATAAAATGCACAAATAAATTAATTAAATGATTAGTAAAATAAATAATAAGTATACAAAAAACAAAAGAGCTAAGAATAACTAAGATGAATTTTTTAATAATATGTATGTGAAATAAGTATGTAAATAAATAAAAAATAAAAAATAAAATAAAAAATAAATAAAAAACAACAAATATAAATAGTAGTTTATTAATTACAATGCTTATTATATATAACAATTAAAATGCTTAATTGTTAAGATATTATTTATAATTTTTATGTCTATACTTTTGATCATAGCATCACAAATGGTAAAATAGCAATGGGAATATTTCCCTCTCTCCTCTGGAACAGTAATATTTTAATAAAACCTAATCTACAAAGCTTTGGTAGATTAGTTTGGTAAAAAATTAATGTTATATTGATCAGAGACATGGTCTCTCAGTATGACCCAGAGAAACAAATTCCTTTCAACTGAAATGGATTTTTGGACAGGAGCAGCAAGTATATCCATGATCCAAAGGGGCAGAATTATCAATATAAGGAAGAAATTGGAAATGAAACGAAATACCTTGAGGTGATGGAAGAAATGGCACTAAGATAGTATGGCCACACGAGGTGAATGAGTAGCAATAGAGTATCAAAACTTATTATAGGTTGGGAGTCAAAGGGTAAAAAAAGGAAAGGAAGACACCCAGTTAGATGGGAGGGTAGAATGGTGGATAATATGGCTGGTATGGCAGGAAACTGTCGGAGGAGGATGTGATGGATGGGCAAAGGTGGAGGGACCTGCTGAGACCGGACTTGGTTGTCTTTAAGATTTAACTTCATAATGAAGAATTTTCTGATGAAAAAAAAATCTTTTGATTCCATCTGTTATTTCATGGACTTATTCATATTCTTTTCGTTATTAGATCTTACTATGATAACATTGCTATTATATTCCAATTATTTTTTATAATTCAAATAAATCACCTCAGTTATTCTTAGCTCTGTTGTTGTTTTTCATACTTCTTATTTATTTATTTGTACTAATTGTTTAGTTAATGTATTTGTGGTTTTGATGTAATTGTTTATAATACCATTATCTCATTTGTACTTTCCATCTATTTATCTTGGCTTATTTACAAAATTTATCAAAATCTCATTTCTCTGATGTATTTTTTAAATTTTTTATACCTGACCATCAACCACATCCTTGGGTCGAAACATCGGAAAGCCTAATAAACCATATAAAGCCTGTATATTTTGATTATTTGTCACCCTCAAAATTTTAACAATCAACTATATTTACTTTCATAAATTATTTCTTTTATAATAAAACAATTTTATCTAAAAAATCTGTTGATATTAATTTCAGTTACGGGAATGGCTCTTCCTGGGGAACTCATGGCACTTATGGGATCTTCTGGTGCTGGAAAAACAACCTTACTAAATACACTAAACTTCAGGTAATGCTTTGAATGAATTAAAGATTAATTTTATCAATTTATACCTAGAGGTTCTAAAATTGAAGCTAATTAATCAGTGAAATAATATATTTTTCAAATTATTTGTTTTAAACTTCAAATTTTGATTTTAATGATTTAAATTTTTTAATGGTAATTTTTAGGAGAAAGAAATATCTTAAAATTAGCAAAAATAAAATAAAAGTTTTTTCTTGACATTGTACCATCTTGTCCAAAACATTTAAAAATGATAAATCAATAAATAGAGTTTGTTTTTTATAATCAGAATTGTTGTTTGAACAAAAATTAAATAATGTACAGTTAGAAAGTGAGTTTTGGTGTAAAAGAGAAACAAGGAATAGTCCTCAAAGTGAAAAATTATTGTTGTGTAAAAAATTAATAAGTTATTTTTAATTGTCTATTTTATCAGAGGCTCATTTTATGACAACTACCCCTACAGGTCACCACCTTCTGTAGAAGTAACAGGACGGAGAGCCCTTAATGGAATTCCCGTGAATGCTAAAACTTTGAGCTCCCTTTCTGCCTACGTACAGCAGGATGATCTCTTCATAGGAACTCTCACAGTTCGAGAACATCTTATATTTCAGGTTTGCATTTTAAAATTTATAATTTATATAATGTAGTACAGAATATTATTGGAAGATTCCAAAGGGAAAGCCTCAAATCTCCCAGCAGCAACTAACTTGTCAATGTTTTGCCAATTCAGGCATCATCAGGACAGAAATAGACAAGAACAGTTAAATACAAAAAGGAAAAGTGACTACATTAAAAATGACTAATCTCGTCAGTTACATTATTCCAAGACAACTCAACACATACTGCAGGAAAAGGGAGATCAAGTATATGTTGAGTATTTGTTTTTTGGATAGTCTAATTGTATTCTAAAAGTATTTTTTTTTTTTTAGATTTTGATATCTTTAATTAAAATATAGATATTTTTTTCAAGTTAGGGTATTTTGAATTTTAAATAAGCCTAAATTAAATTAATTGGTATCATAGATATGAGATGATACTTAATAATAACTAGTGTTCGCCCAGTGGTCGAAATTCGACCATAGCCATTAAAAATTTGAGGAAAACATATCATTAAATAAAAAATGAATTCAATAAATAAATAGTTAATCATGATTCAAAAATCCTCATTTATTAATACAAACAAAATTTCAATTTCAATTAAAAATCGAGCTTAAACTACTTCAAATTATTTATAAGTTATACCAAATAGATTCATTCAAAATATTTAATTTACATTTTAATTTATGAGTGTTATTATCACAATAAATTAATGTCATGGTTAAGCAAGTAAACAATAAATTTAAATTAGCAATTTCAACTCACTTTAAATCCATTTGTATTCAGAACTTCTATGTAAGTAATGTTCTTTTTGAATGTTCTGTTATTGTTTAGTACATAACCTTGCCCATTGCCATTGGAAATATAAATTTCGAAATTTTAAATGAACGTTCTCTACTTGGTGCCACATATAATTGTCCAAGCCAAATTACTGGACGTCGCAATAATACACAAATTTTTCCAAAACTTTGACTCTGCTATTTGATTATGGTCATAGCAAATGCAGCTATTAATAGGAACATTGTTGTTTGAAACCTTAGCACTTCACTCTCACTCGTGTTCCATTAACTAGTGGTTGTGCAGTATTTAAATTAAGAATGAGTATTGTATAACTAAGAATTTATTTTTAAATTTAATTTATGAGGTAACATTCAAAGATATCATCTCTTCAAATAATAGCCCCGATTACTTCATTAAATGTAAAGTTTTTGATTTATCAAAAACCAAAATGATGGAAATCGACTTAGCAAAAGAAAAATTATTAAATGTTTAAAATGATATATCTCTGCAACAAATAGTCCGATTTTGATGATTTTTTTTTATTTTGTAGGGAATTCAGTAAACTTTCAAATAAATATTGTTGTTATCAATAAAATGTGTACTTTTTGAGTTATTCAGAAATAAAATACTGAATTCATCATAAAAATTTATGCAGCTTGTTTTCGGAAAAGTATGTTATATACATAAATTATAAATGTTTCAAGGGAAAGACTTCAGCTAATTTTCATTGAAATCGTAGAAGCCTTATTGGCACTGCAGTCTAATGTGAATCCATTTCGAAAGGAAAGATCTGATGAAAATGAAAAGTATACAAAAACACTTCTAAATATTATTGCGTCATTGGGTCAAAATTTCAAATAAATCGGTGATGAACTTTCGGAGATAAGCTGTTTTGAACAAACTACCATTTATATTTTTATTTACATACTATTTCATATTTTTATTTATTGATAAAACTAAAACTCGTCAATATTTATTAAACAAAAAAAGAAGGAAGAAAGTTGATTGAATAATAGAGGAGAAAAAGGGGCTGAACCGTTTTTTGTTTGCCTATTTATATAATGTTTTCTTAAATTCTGATTTTTTATGGAAATTTCAATGATTAATAGCAAATAGTGACCTTTATTCTGCATTTGTTTTCTGTATAAATATTGCTATGCTATTGCACAGGCGGATCTACAGAGAGAGGGAGGAGCTTTCGGGCTGAAGCTTTCCTCTCCCCAAAATGGTAAAATGTAACCATGTTTTATGGAAAAATATGAAACAATTTTCTCTTAAAGTATTATTGTTCTTCTAATTACATTTAATAGGACTTCAAAAATCACTTAAGCACCATTTCATATAGGTAGTTAGTATCTTTCTTTTTTTTTCAAAGTAATTATCGTTTTATATATATATATATATATATATATATATATATATATATATATATATATATATATATATATATATATATATGAAAAAAAAAAAAAGATTTCAGGCTGAAGCTCCTTTCCCAAAATTGATTCCGGATCCGCAAGTGTACTATTGTATATTAGCAATATTTCTTTCATCAGTCCAAGCAAATATAAAAGTTAAGAAATGAGATGAAAATTCAGTCATTATTAAATAAAGTTTATCCTGTAATTTAAACACATAATATTTGCATTTTTACCTTTTGAAATCACTTATTCACTCTATAGACTAGACTGTGGGTATCTTAAATTATATTATCAACAAAGTTAAACCTGAAAAAATTAAAATCTTAATCAAACAAATATTATCAAAGATAGGTTAACCAATTTTCGTATTGGATTTTGCACCCAAATCTGTGAGGAAAGTTCATTGAGTGTACACACTGTATATTTGATTATGAATTATTAAAGTGAAAAATTATCTTTCTGAATTTAAAATAATGTATTCTGTTTGTCTGTTAATGTAAATTAAATTTTTTTTTTTGAGAAATATTAAAAATTTCTCAATTTGAAAAGTACTGTTTCAAAATTATAAATCATACATAATATTATTCTATTAATATAAAGGTTATCTTATATCTTCTGGCAATAACTATTCAGAAAATTCATGAATCAGCTAATTTAAAAAACAAAAATTGAGAAAGATTTTAAAAATATATTAATTAACTCTAATAAAAAGTCAGCTAGAAGCATTATAATTTTACTTTTTATTCAATTTTGTTTAATGGAGATTAATATAATGAAAAAAAGTTCAAAATAAATGAATAATCGCATTATTTAAATTTACTCATAATAATATAAATATTTCAGGCACTAGTGAGAATGGATCGACATATTCCATTTGAAACAAGAATGGCTCGAGTAGAAGAAGTTATATCCGAGGTTTGTATCTTTTCTATATATTTATATTGAAAATAACATATTGAAAATTTATATTATTTTTAAAATAACACTGGTGTTTGTGAATAATTTTAATATTTTCATAGTAAAATTTGATGTATTTAATTTTGTTTTCATAACATATTAATGCCATGTTTATTGGCATTTTAGTTAACTCTTAGTAGATGCCAAAATACCATCATCGGTGTTCCTGGAAAATTAAAGGGGATATCGGGAGGAGAAATGAAAAGGCTTTCTTTTGCTTCTGAGGTGAGACCAGTAACAACTTTATGTGAAAAAAATAATGAATTAAATTTGATTTAAAGTTTAAATTTTATCAATATGTTTTTAGGTATTGACAGACCCTCCATTAATGTTTTGTGATGAGCCTACATCTGGATTAGATTCTTTTATGGCTCAGAATGTAGTAACTGTTTTGAAATCTCTTGCAGAAAAAGGAAAAACTGTAATCTGTACAATTCACCAACCTTCATCAGAGGTAACCTAAACTTCTTCTAGTAAGTGTTAAGATATGAACTTGTTTCATTGGTATTCTTCATGGTGACATGGTAAATGTAAAGGGCTGATCAAGACAAATGCATGTCTTTTGTAGCTGCTTGGTTTCCTTACCGCTTAATATATCTGCTAACCAGTAAAAATTTTAAGACTCCCATCCAAAAAAAAAAGGTTTCAAATTAGAGACCATACATTTTACCATTGTTTAAAAATATATTTCGTCAGCTATTTTATGTATAGTATTTTTTAATTTTTTGGGTCATTCCCAAAATATATTCCAAAGGTTAAGATATTTTTAAGACATCAAAGCCTTCAAAGTCACTTAACTGCCTAATCTGCCCTTGGTAACTTAAAATAACTAAGTTACTCCTTGAATTAACTCCTTGACTTAGGGGACCAATCAATAAAATCAACCAAAATTAATTGTTAAGCATCTACTTACTGATTTTTTTTTTTTTGGCTATTTAGATTATTATTTTATTTATTTATGTTTGATAATATTCAGAAAATAAACCATATATATTTAAATTATTTTACCTCCTAATTTTCTCCTAGCAAGAAGAATACTATAAAAAACATTACCAATGCAGAATATAAATTCAGTAGTTTTTTTATTTGATCTTTATTAATATTCTCAATATTTCTCTCTTCTACTTCGATGCCTAATATTTATTTTCCAATTCATTTATTTTAAGCCACTATACACCAATTTTTAATTTGGTCAACTTAATGACTACATCTTATTACCCCGTTTTGGCTCATCGAGCCATTTTCAAGTCTGTCCATTTCACTTTTTATGCGAATTACTTGTGTCTACTCATAATAAAATGTATCACTCTTGTTATGTCCACCTTTAACTTATCATGTGTCAACCCACTTGTTGTCGGTCTCATTTCTATTGAGTGACTGGTCACAGACTTGAAAATGATTCGAAGAGCCTAAACGTTGTAATAAGATGTAGTCATTAAGTTGACGAAATTAAAAATTGGTGTGGAAAATTTATTAATATTGAGATATGGGAATTTTAACAGATCTTAAGAAAAGTTGAGTTATGTTTTTATATTTCTAAAAAATGATTATTTAATATTTATTCTTCTCTTTTAGGTTTATGGTATGTTTGATAAAGTACTTTTAATGGCTGAAGGCAAAATGGCATTTTTAGGAACACCAACAGAAGCAAACGAGTTTTTTAAAACGTAAGATTTATTTTAATTTTAAAACTTAGACAGATTTCTCAAAAATCATTTGTTAGTCATTATGTATATTTATATTATTGTAATTAGAGACGATTTAAAAAAAAAATTAAGTGGAACAGGTTAGCTCAGTAAGCAAGGCACTGTACTCATATGCTACAAGTCTGGCTGTGGTAATTATTTATTTATTCTGTTACATCAGCCAGGGATCAACTCTATCATCGGGAGGCTCTCTTGGGGCAAACCCAGCCTCTATACACTTTGGGTTCTCTTAATAATAATTAATGAATAATTAATTAAAGAAAATAACCTACAGGTTGAGCATGATTTTGCCCAAATCATGTCCCTACACAATCGTTAACCAAGAAACAGTACTTTCTTATAAATTATTGAGTCTCTCCAAGGGTCCTAGTGGTACAGTTTAAAAATTAAGTGATATTAACTAACTTTTTAAGGTGACCAACAATAATATAAAATAATAAGTTGTTATTTTTCACTCATTGATTTAATAAATTAGGTACCTCATTATATTTGTATTAATTGTAATTTATTAGAATCAGAGTTTTTTGTTTTATGATAGGATGGGCGCAGCATGTCCTAGTAACTATAACCCAGCGGATTTCTTTATACAATTGCTAGCTGTCGTTCCAACCCGTGAAGAAACATGCAGAAATATGATAGAAATGGTGTGCGATTCATATAAGAACTCAGACATCGGAGAGAAAATGATATTACAAGCAGAACTGGCAACGCAGGTAAATATTAAAATGCTTAAAAAATAAGATTTAAAAACAAGTTTCTCATTATAATTTCTGTGTATAGAACCTACAAATTAATTGTTGGATCAGTTACTTAAAATTTAAGCTTTCAAAGCATAAAAGTGCTAGTTTTTGTCAATATTTATTTTTTAGTTTGTTTAGATGTTTATTGTTTCATACCTTTCTGTGGACAGTGTATAGAGCTATATGGAAAAATAAACAACAAAATGATTTGATAAAAGGAATATTGAGGAAAAAAAACTTTTATAGCTTTATTGTTTTAGAAAAAGGAAAATACATAAAAAATAGCTTTAAGATGGTATAGTGTTGTATAATTTGATGTAAATTATAAAAATCAAAGGATGAATGTTTGAAGACCAACAATGAATCTGAAATATTACAAAAGCAAAAATGAATAGATGAGAAGTATGAAGGTGTATCATCGAAAGATTCTTATAGAATATAAAATTTGATTAGATGTTTACAAATATAAATTAAGAGATTTTTTATTCTGTTGGCTTTACAGACCTTTTTCATCTGTGCCTATTTTAGTTTATTGCTTTCTAGTTATAAATAGTAAATGCAGCTCTTCAGCATCATCATTGATTCAATCTATCCACCTGGTTTTTGGCCTCCCTTGTTGTCTATATTCTACTATTGAGACAGTCATTGATGTTTAGAGGCTTCCTGATGTTTTACTTCTTGCTCTATGTCCCACCCATCTTATCCTCCTTGCCTTCATATCATAAGATATTATTTGACCAGTTTCTGTAAGCTGTTCTTTATTGGTCCTTCTCCTGCTTGCATTATTACTCTGAGTTCAGATCACTCTGGTTATCGGGTGGAGGAATTTCTTCTCAAATCTTTCAATACTTTTATTTTAGGTTGCTGGTTAGTGTCCAGATCTCTGATGTCAGAACTGGCTCTATCAAAACATTGTACATCCTTAATTCAGAGATATATCAATTGGATTATTTTTAGGTTATTATTTTTTACTTAAATATATAGTTCCTATTATATCTTTAATGCCATATTGTGTGAAATTAGGGGCTTGTTGTAGTATATGATTATGATTGAAGTTTTCTAAAACCACATTAAACAGAGAGATCTGGTATCAGAGTACTAACAGAAAGAAATAATGCAAGATAGGCAAATATGGAGAAGGCTGGTTAAAGTGGCAGAAGATCTACTAGTCAACAGAAAAAAAAAATGAAGTTTTGTTTATTAGAAAATTCTATGAAAAAAAAATGTATATGATAGTATGCACAAGTTTTAATATAGAACTGATTATTGTAGGGCACAAAAAATAATTGGGGTATTTGGGCAGACAATTGGGCCTCGCCGAAGAATCTGTCGCCGTACAAAGCTTCCTGGACCGCTCAGTTCCGGGCAGTTCTTTGGAGGTCTTGGCTCAGTGTAATGAAGGAACCGGTACTCATCAAAGTCCGTATGCTCCAGACATTTGTAAGTAATTACATCTTCTGTCCATTAATTAAAAAAAACAAAAGTGAAATCATGAAGTGTATAATATAGAATTTAGAGTTAATAGATATTTTATGATTAATTTTCAGATGGTTGCCCTTATGATTGGCGTGATATATTTTGGGCAGGAGCTCGATCAGGATGGTGTGATGAATATAAATGGTGCGCTATTCATCTGTCTCACAAATATGACATTTCAGAACGTCTTTGCTGTTATTAATGTGAGAACAATCTAGAATATTTTTATAAATGTTTTTTTTTAATTAAGAAATTTTATTTTCCATTTTTAAATTTTGATCCTTATTCTTAATATCTTTTTACTCTTATGTATTTGCCTCATGGTCAGTTTAATAATAATCAAATTAGTTTTTGAAACTGTCCAATAAATAACAATTAAAAACTAATTTAATTATTATTAAACGGACCATAAGGCAAATACATAATTGTGAAAATAAATTTTATGATTAGTAGCTGAAATAGAATAAAATATACAGGATGATTCAGTTCTAAATGCCCAAATTCTGGGACTTGATATTAGACAAAATTTCTCACAAAAAAGTTCATTTAATGCATGGTCCTTTTCCAAATGGAAAAGGACTTAGTCCAATTTTTTGTTTTCTTAAGGTGATCATATTTTCTCTTTCGTAGGAAGAGACACAAAAATTATTTAAATTAGGTAATTAACAATTGCTTCATAGTAAACAAAACAAAATTTCATTCAAATAAAAGTAGTTTTTATTTGATATATCGAATTTTAGTTCATTCAGAATTCTACTTTTTATGAGTGAATTAGAAATATATCCTTATCCTCACATATATTATTACAGTAAGGTTCGAAATCTTCGCATCCACACAACATTATTTTAATTGTAGGACTGTCATTGAATAGATGTCTCATTTTGTCAACTTTTGAGGTCTCTATGATCGAGAGAGGAGAAGTTTATATTATTTATCGATGGTGTTTTTGATCCGCAAGCCATATCATCGTTAATTCTTCACCAAATCTCAAGATTGAGCCACCAATTTCAAAGGCTTCCTTCTCCTTCAGGCGGGCCAAATAGTCAAATCACTCTGAAAATTCAGGCAAACAAGTTATAAAAGAAAATAAACTTTATTTGCGAATAATTAAAAAATTACACACTATTCCCATGGTTATGCCCATGATTATACAAAAGATTACTAAATTCTCTACAAAAGGAAAAAAAAAAAAAAAAAAATCATCGAAATCCGACAATTTTTAGCAATGTTGGTTCCAAACATTAATGAAGATTTAAATTAATTTTTGTTTCCTTTGTCGATTATATTTATTGATAAAGTAACAATTGATTTCTTTATCTTTTGATACATTGCATTATTTTATTTTCTTATTAATTTGGCATTTGATAACAATATGCTGTGCAATTTTTTCGCACGGGCCTGCTAGTATATAAATATTTGTATTTTTATGTTGGGGTGTCTACCAGAACATTTTTCTTATGAAAAATCCAGTTTTCAAGTTCAAGAAAAATTCTATTATTACTAGATCTTCAAAATATTTTGTTTAAACTATTTTAATAGTTAATATTATGAATGGTCTTCAATGAATCAGACTTTTCATTAATAGTTATATTATATCATTTATATAAAATTAAAAATTTTAAATATTGTAATCTACCTAACTGGATGTATTTTGTGATATTCACGTTTACAAGATACCAAATGGAAATAAAACAGCCTTTCTTTGGCACAAAAATATCAAAGCAGCCTCTTTCATACTAAAAGCAATAAAAACATTACCTTTACTACTAACTTTTGTATTTATTTATCAAAGCCAAAATACCCTTTTTTGGCCTAAACATATTTTAATTAAAACACAAATAAACTTTGTTAGGCCAGAAATGGTGTTTTAGTAAATATTTTAAATAATATGAGTAATTTTCTTTGAAAGTGGTGTAAGTCCACTTTACATCATATCGTCAGTTTATTGCAAAAAGTCATTAAGTGACATTTGAAAACCTCAAATAAATAAGAACTTTGATGAATTTTTCCTTTGCGAAATCAGAAAACTCTGCACCTAGTGTAACTATATATGATAAATAAAAGGGTGTGTGTTATTTTCGTGCTCTTACGGGTTTTGTTATAGGTAAATAAGGTCAAAATTCACAAAAAAAATTTGAAGATTGACCTATATCAAAAATGTACTTAGTGCCTTTTTGCAATAAAACAACAATATGAAAATATTCAAGGGTTTGTATTTGAATGTTTAAAAAATATACTCCGTGTTAATATGCTCATTTTATGTTTTAAAAGTATTAAATTGATCTAAGTTTATAATGTGATCGTTTTCAAAGTATTAAAATAAATTTATATTTTTGATGACCTCAAATGGATTTACACCACTTTAAAATCAATGGAATGTTAAAGTCATACATTTATAAAATATTAAATATGGGATTCAAATAAACATCTTAATTTCACTTTTAAAAAACTGATTAATTTTATTTGTTATATTAAACCTTTTATTATTTATATGCTATAGGTATTCTGTTCTGAACTTCCTGTTTTCTTAAGAGAGCATATGAACGGGATGTATCGGACGGATATCTATTTCTTGTGTAAAACTTTGGCAGAGGTACCAGTATTTCTCGCAGTTCCACTTATTTTCACTTCGGTGATCTACTACATGGTTGGTCTTAACCCTGCGTTCGTCAGGTTTTTGTCGGCAGCACTCATTATAACTTTGGTCAGCAATGTTGCAACTTCCTTTGGTAAGTTAAATTTGTGATAAATATTTACTGTTAAATTAAAATGTTATTATAGTATTGAAAGATTCTTCAACAAAGCATTAAGTAAGCCTTTTAAATATCAATAAAAACTGACTAGTAGACTTTATTATGACCAGTAGACACAAATTTGGCCATCATCAGGGCAGAAAAAGTTAAAATTAGAGAATATGCTGAGTGGGTTAAGAAAAAGCTGAACTATTAACTAAAAACTATAGCTAAGTTAATGGTAGTTGTAAAAGACTAATAAATAAAAGATTTGTTATCTTGTTGAACACAAATTATTATTGAGGATAAATTACCAATTAGCTGAAGTAGGTAATTAATTTTACTTTTTCATTGCCACTTTATATTTTATTATATTAAATGAATTTTAATATCAGCTAGGTCTTATTCTCATTGATGTCACCTAACAGGGCCAATTTTTCGAAATTTCTTTCTCTAAATAATCTTTAATTTGGTTTATTTTAAATAATTAACTGTCTGTTATTGTCGAAAGAATTAAAAATAGCCCAATATAAACCTTGAAAGAATTTGATAATTGACTAAAGGCGGAAAAAAGGAAAAATATTTTTCAGGTTGAAAATTAATTTACGGAAGCAATAGTCAGGATGTCTCTCTCTCTCTCTCTCTCTCTCTCTCTCTATATATATATATATATATATATATATATATATATATATATATAGAGAGAGAGAGAGAGAGATACATTCTGACTATTGCTTCCGTAAATTAATTTTCAACATGAAAAATATTTTTCCTTTTTTCCTCCTTTAGTCAATTATCAAATTCTTTCAAGGTTTATATTGGGCTATTTTTAATTTTTAATATATATATGTATGTATAGCCTATTCTTGGAAAACTGAGAATTAAAAAAATAAATATATATATGTATATTATACAAAGTCATAGAAGATAATATAGAGCAATGAAAAAAGTATAAATAATAATTTCTAAAAACAAATTTTATTTAATGGAAACTAGATGAAAATCCCTAATTAATGTAAATTATTTTTAAGATTGAAAAAAATATATATATAATCAACCAAATCCAGGTACTGGAATTGTTAAAAAAATATTTTATTGTTCTTGTTTCAAAGGAGAAGTGGAATATAAAAATATTTCATGGATGAGTGAAATAATTGTTTATAACATTAAATACATTTACTGTTGTTTGATAACATTTAGATAATTTAGATCTGATAATATATTTCAATAATTATGTACATATCGTCGGTTTATTCCAAAAAATATTAAGAACATTTTAGAAAATTAAATTAGTGAATAATTTGATGGATTTTCTCTTTATGAAATCACATTATCCACTTATAATTAGCGTGACGACTTTTATTCTATCGATGGTAGGTGATGAAAAGCTTGTAGCAGTATTTTGGTATATATTACAAGGGAAAAAATAAGAGCTAGGGAAAGCGCATCAGTGGTGGACAGAGCTAGTGAAATATTTGTCTTTTTTGGCTTATGTCGCCATAATTATAATATTTATAAACTTCTCCATTGGACATTTAGAATCTCTAGAGCCTCCTTTTTCTATTTAATACTTTAAAATTGAAAACATATTCACTTATGCAGGTATAATCACCATTTAAAAAATCACCTTTTTGCACTAGTGATGGACACCCCAAAATTAAATTATTTTAGTAATGGACAGAGGATCAGTACCAGTAATATACATTCCTCAGAATAGTTCTAATATCTTTATTTAACTATAAATATAAGATAACATAAACGTACAATTTACTCTTAGCAAAACTGTTAGTAGGAAGGTATAAATCACACTGATCTCAATAGCACTCTAGAAACAACAATGATAGGCATTTTAAAATTTTCTTTTGGGAACTTTGTTCATACAGTTGTCAATAGAGAGCATTGTTCTTCAGTATAGAAAAAAAATGGAACCTTTCCATCAACATGGAAGCTTATTATTTACATTTAAATTCCAACCTGTCCATAAAGGATGTGTTCACACTAGTGTATATGCTAAAAGTTGGTTTACATTGATAAATATGACCGGAATTCATAAATGTGTTGTTTAAGGTTTAGCTCCATTAAAAATGCACATAAAAAACTTTTTATGATAGCCCAATTTTATCAGACAATAATTTTTTTTCATAGTAGATTTGTAATGTGCACACCAGATTTTTTTTTATATACAAGAAGCATTAGTTATTACTGTACTTGATAAGTAACTAGTTTTATCTACAGTTAAAATTACAAAATAGTTAATAACATTGTTATAAAAAATAATAAATAAACGCCTTGTGAATCTTAAAGGCTGGTTTTATTTTCATTTACCCCTTAGGTTCTGTGGAAGGAGTGGAAGGGGAGAAAGAGAGGAGAAGAAACCATTTGTTTACATTTTATTGAAAATAAAGTTGCTTGTATCCAATTTCGAGCTGGTTCAAATTCTGAGGACATTGATAGCCAAGAGTGTTACTCTGCTTCACGCTTACTCAGCTTTTGAAACAGAGTTAATTTAAAGCAACGCTAATGCACTAGGAAGTGAGATATTAAACAAAATTAAATCATTATTTTCTGTACTTAAGCAGAGGGAAATCAAGATCAAAAAAAGTAGGAGAGATCTTGAAGCAGTGTTACTCCTGGGTTGAAATCAGATCAAAATTACTCTTTTCCCTCTCCTTCCTTTAACTTTTTTTAATTTTATAGGAAGTGAGTTTCAACACATATGAAACTCTTTAAAATGGGTCAGGTGATGCTTTAATACATTTTTTTCTCTCTTTTTTTTTTAACCTTATCTACCGATAAATTAGTTGGAGATTTGTTTTCTTTATTTGGTTAATATTTTTCTAGACATTTGAAGTGTCCAGTTTCTGTTCTGCCATTATGTGATATTATCTTTTTCTCCTCTTGATGACCTTCATTTCATGAATCTTTGTTTTTGAATGTTCCTACGATATCCGGACTGAAAATTAATAAATCAAATAAAAATATTAACAATAACATATATGAATAATGCTTTCTTATTTATATTGAAATATGGTTGTAGGGTACTTCATATCATGTGTCAGCTCAAGCATATCTGTGGCATTGTCTATCGGGCCTCCTGTTATAATTCCATTCTTACTGTTTGGAGGTTTCTTCCTCAATGCAGGGTAAGTATAGTATAAGTACTAATTATCACACTTAGTTGTTTTTTTTAAAAATAAAGTTATTATTTTAAAAGAAATATTCTGTTCATAATGAGCAAAACGAAGGCAGAAAAGTTGAACTTGGTATTTATTTACCTGTCCCAATTATAAAAAAAAAAAAAAAAATGATTTAACTAACAGGTCGCATGATTAGAAAAAAATTGAAAAGTCATGCCAATTTCCGCTAGTATAACACTAATCAATATTTCTTTATTTGGGATAAAATTAGATTAGATTTTTAAAAGTTAAAAATTTTTCTTTAAACACTTATTTAAATGATAGGGTGGGTGATCAATAAGATATTAATAAAAATAAAACTTTTATGTTTTTAAGTAAAATCAAGAAGTTTCTGCATTTAAAGTTTTAATTTTATTTATATTGTTTACGGAATTCAATGTTGCATGATAATATTTTAACTTAACTTTAGTTTAATTTAAATTATTAATAATTTAGATGTTTGTTTAGAAATATAATTTATGATTACATAATACTACCCAATAGTTTCGTGTAACTGAATTGTATTTATTTTCAGATCCGTTCCACCATACTTCAAGTGGCTAAGCCAACTTTCTTGGTTCAAGTATGGCAATGAGGCTTTACTGATCAATCAATGGGAAGGCATAGAGACAATCTCTTGTACCAGGTCGAATACTACTTGTCCTAGGGATGGCCATGTAATTTTAGAAACTTACAATTTCAGTGAGGTATATAAAAGTATATATTTTTTTCAAACAATTTACTGTTATTGTAAAATTTTCTACAAATGTTATCATATTTCAGGAAAATTATCTGGGTGATTACCTGGCTCTTACTGGCCTGATAGTTGGTTTCAGGGTACTTGCTTTCTTTGCGCTACTGAGCAAAACGTATTCTAAAAGAAGATAATTACGATTTTGAAGTTAGGTTATCCATTTGAAGAATTGCAAATTATGATTGCAAAATTGAGAGAGATTTGGATTATAAAGTTTAGGCTGAATTTGATTTTTTATTGAGAATGTTTTGAACTGCCTACTGATTGAGTTTGTAAATATAGATTTATATGTTTGCCACCAAATATATTACATAAATGTATTTGTTATATAATAATAAAGATATGTTGATTTTTATATTTTATGAATTACCTGCTTTGATTCTCTCTTATTGATTTAAGAAATGTTTTGTTCATTCTTGATTCGATACTTTTCTTTTATTAACACTGTTTACAAAATGTATAAGGTAATGTTTACATTATGTTTGTTGGGACATTCTGGATCAAAAAGTGGTATATTCAATATCCAGTGTGTGTCACTTCTCATAATTTCCCCCAATATATGTTAAATAAATAATTAATCAAAAACTTAATAAAGGCTTGATTACCTTGTTGATTGTTGAAGGCTTGATTTAATCCTCCAGATGTGTATCTTTGTCTATTTCCATTGCTAATAACCTTTTTCCCTCCTTTTTTGTTATGACCCATATTTCTGCTGCATACAATCTGATGCTTTCCACAAATGAATGGAATATCATTTTTTTATTTTTAAGTTGACCTGTTTAGTCCTTAATAATGAATTCAGGCTTCCATGTGACCCACCTTCCAAGATATTTGAATTCCTGATTTGTTTTTTATTTCAAATTTTCTAAGGATAGAGCTCCTGTATCTCCTTGAAATTGAACACCCTTATTTGAGCCCCTAGGTGATAAAAAATTGTTCTTTCAGTACATTTTTGAGTCATATCCTTGCTCTAGCACCGCTACATAAGCTTTTATTAAATAATTACTTATCTCTATATTTTTGTAAGGATTTTCACAGTTTGCATAACGGAACCATAACATATGTTTTCAGTGTATCTGTTGTATATAAATCATATGTATTTCACTGTTACAAGCATTCTTCTTTTTGATTGCTTGAATAACATTAATTGTGAGAGTATGAATATGTGGCCTATATATATATGATCTATTCTTCTTGTAATCTGGAGTACCCTCCCATTGGGATGACTAATAGCTGGTTATGCAGTACAATAATGATCTCATCCCGTGTGGTCATCTTCATTAGCCAACTAGCAGATTATAAAAAATTTGTGAGAAACGTTAAAAGCAAGACTATTTTACTTCCTGCTTATTAGAGTACTGGCTTCCTAACTGGGAATCGAAACCATAACCATATTAAACGTCGGCAAAAATTAAAATTATTTATATATTTTAATTTTTTTTATTTTTTTGACCGCACCCTCGACTAATTCCTTCTCACATAACCATATTACTTATAACTGAGTACTCTGGGATAATTTTAATCCCCATTAGAGTTGTGCAAACATTTTTCTGATCGATAATTGACAACTAAATTTCTAGTCACAAAACGTAATCATAACCAATGACTAATTCGTTTGTTTTTATTTATAACTAAATTTAATTGTGTTAATCAGGGATTATGAAAGTTTAGAGTAAAACATTCAGAAATAAGTAAAAATGTAGTTGAGCTCAATAGTCTATTATTATTAAATGTGATCACATCCAAAAGATCAGACTACGTAATTGATTATGTAATTATAAGCTATTTAAAAAAATAAATAAAATACCTTGTTTGTTAAAAATAATAGATTACTTTAGGAATCACTAGTTTTTTGCTACATTAATCTTCTTGTCAGCAAACACAAGCAGATGATTAATTACTCCCCTAGAAATGAACTATTTAAAAGATTTACAGAACCTATTTGATGAATTTCGATTTTCCTATTTATCAAAAAATATTAAATAGAATTATTTTGGATGGGTGAAGAAATATTAATATTTTTCTCTAGATTTGATGTTAAGTGGATTGTTAATAACTACTAATTATAATTAGCAGCCACCTCTAATGGGTATGTTCTGTAGCTTTTCATTGAATGAAATAGCCTATCAGAAAAGCTTTATGGATTTTATCTAGCAAAAGTGATGAAATCTTAAAAGTTACTTTTAAAGCATTAATTAAGTGCTATAACATTGTCATAAGTTTTACTTTAAACTCATTGCACTAAATCATACAATTAATATATCTCATTTGACACACTAATTAATTAATATTTACTATTTTGTTACTTATTTATTATTATTGAAGGAAGTTAGTCGACTGTTCTACATATCATAGGTGATAAATAGTCAGGATGCAGTCATTTTATTGTTGTAGCCGTTTCAACCCAAGCATGTGGGCGATCATCAGGTACAAGTACTTGAACACCTTCAGTACTGGTAACATACCCTAATGATGACTCACATGCTTGGACTGATACGTCTGCAACAGCAATAAAAATCTTAAAATGACTGTGTTCTGACTATTTATTTCCTATAAAATGTATTGTATTTGCACCATTGGATTTCTTTAACAGTTAATTCTGGCTCTAGATGTAAAAATAACTCTTGAACACATCTGCCCTTTTTCTGGAGGACTCATTTTCAGCTTCTGTGTAATCTGATTAATGTTTTATCCAAATTTCAAATCAATCTCAAGAATCCAGAATGATACAAATGTTCCATGACATCAAGTCAATCTTTTCTATTTATTATTATTATAAAATTGGCCTTGTGAGAGGTGATATGTAGTGGCCCTGTACAGTAAATGGTGGTTTGAACTGGTATTTGATGAGACCACAGCTTTTAAATGTGCAAGAGGAGATGTATTCAGATGAGAGAAAATTTAAGATAAAGATTAATTTTGTTTTCAGAATTGTTTAGGTCTTTCACTCACCTACATTTTATATAAGGGATATAAAAAAAATTACGTATTTTTACCTAACATGACATTTAATTTGTAAATAAATAAATTTATATTCAAGCAAGCTAAATTTATTTTATTTTTAAAATATTCCCGTACCATTTATTCAAAATAGTTCTATGTAAAAAGACATTTTAAGTCATGTTTATTAATATTTAAATTTCATTTTCAACAGTGAAACTCAGATAACAGCAACATGTTATTTCAAGGTTGTTAACAGATAGAGAAAGATAATAATGTAGTACGTGCAGTATAACTCAAAATCAAATTATGTTCAGAGAATAAAAGTTGCAAATACATTTTTCTCAAAATACAATTTTTGCTTAATTCTCCTTTTTACACCTACCATCTCAATTCATTAGTTAAAGATAATCAATATGTTGTGAGTTTGATGAGAATAATAACCATTAATGTTAATTTACATATATTTACAGTTATAAAAATAAGTTTTATTAACTCATTTTTGACATTTGTACATAGAAAATTGCTTAGTTGAAATAACCTGCTATTCATACTAATATAACTTAGTATGTTGCATTGCAGTTGAGTTTTCAGTAACGCAGAATAATTTCCAACATGGGTTTGTATAGTAAAGTCCAGGCATCTTTGGCCCACATAAAGTCAAGATGATTGAAGTAGAAAAAGGGAACAAGAATGTCTTCAGCATTGGGCAGTTTGGACTTGAGCATGAGAACATCCTGAAACAATCACACTTGTAAAATGGAGAACAAAGTACCTTAACAGGTAATAATAAAATATAAATGTAATTATCAATTCACCTTAATGCCAGATACCCAGTCATTATGGGAATAGTGCAGTGTAACTGGTGTAGTGATTCGAGACACATTGTATTCCAGAGGATATGGATGATGGTAACGAACCAAGTTTTCATACCATCCATAGTCATACTGAGCGAACTTCTGACCTATAATGAAGATTGGATTATGAATGAATGTTTATGTATTCTATTTTAAATAAATCTCAATAAAGAACATTATACTTTTAATTTTAAATACATCTTTATAACAGCTGAAGATAATTGTTTCTATCCTAATATCATCAAGACTGCATGGCTGCATATTTGGAGCAGTGATTCTCTTCCTCAACTTTTAAACTGCAGCAAGTCTTAGATGTATAAACCACGACAAAGTCATTAATATATAATATTACACATAAAATTGAATATATTGGATTGGCAAATCCTTTAGGTTTTTCTATTTATTTTTATGTCCCTACCGTACACTTCTTATCTGATGAATTAATTCCTTAGGTAGATTATTTATCCTATTTGTAATATGTGAAAAACTATTTCTGTGAACTCTTGTTAAAATTAGATTAGTACTATGTTAGCTATTTCCTTATAAATTAAATATTTTGCTGCATTGATTAAAAAAAGAAAAGCATGCTGCAGAAGCATATAAAAAAAATGCAGTGTTTATTGGGATGATGCCTTAATCAAAAGCATGTTGCAAAATGAATTTACCAAATTTTGTTCAGGAAATTTCGGGTACTCCAGTTTGGTCACCTATAAGAAATTGAAACGAGCATTGTTATGGTTGATAGTTGATCAAATATCAGACAATCGGTGTGAGAGATTGCTGGGGCCTTAGATATGTTTGCATAAACTTGGCGAAGTTTCCAGGTTTGATGTTTGGGTCTTCCACTCTCTAACCAGGAACTAGCCACAGCACTTGGGTTAGAGATGAATGAAGACAAAACTAAGTATATGGCCACAAGAGAAACCCCACTCCCACATGAGGAGACCATCAATATTGGTCCCTTTAATTTTAAAAAAGTGGCCCAGTTCACATATTTGGGTTCACATGTGAATCAAGACAAGGCACCTGAGGTTGAGGTTAAGAAAAGAATATTGATGGGCAACAAGTGTTACTTTGACCTTCGCAAGGGATTCACCCCTTGACTTCTTTTTCAGCAGACCAAGTTCCATCTGTAAAAGACATCTTGCATAGTACTGTTGTATTATTCCGAAACATGGACAATAAGTAAACAAATAGAGCAAGACATGCTAGTATTTGAGAGAAAAGTTCTTCAAAGAAATTTTAGAGAAATTCATATCCATGAAAATATAATAAATTTTTAATGAAGAAGATGTCGTTCCGAGAATGAAGCTTGGAAGACTGAGGAGGGCTGGCCACGTGCCTAAGATGGAGGGCGAAGTAATCTCTAAGATAGATCTGACTAAACGTCTCCATGGCTCTCTTGCTCTCTAACCTAAGTCGACTTGATAACACAAATTTTCTTTTGTGATTCACAATGGCAACAATACACTTCAACAAACACTTTAATACAAAACCAGTAAAATTTTCTTCCAATCTTGGAATATTGGAATATCTTAATACAATAGTATTAAGTTTGGAACCAAGTAAAATCTTAATATTCTACATTTTAATTTATAAGAGGAAATGTAAAATTAGCTCGAAAGAATATATAATTATATTTTCAGAAGCTTTTAAAAACCAATTTTTGTTTTCTTAGGTGTTGTTTCAGTATAAAATGTTTAACTTATTTTTATATTTAATTGGTAGCAATTACTAACCACTGTGTGCTATCTGACTGAAGTGTATCAATTGCTTGGAGGATGCACCAGCTGGGGTGTATTTTGTGATAACAGGGAGTAATGTCTGGAAATTTAAAAAAAATATTTTATTAAAATAAGATTCTTGATTAATATACAACCATGTTAAGAATTATAACAAAATGACAAAAATACATAGAATAATGGACATTATATATATACTAGAATATGTAATATGTACATACCATGTTAAGTTCCTGAGAGTCATAACCAGCAATCAGGAAGAGTATGTTTTCACACAAAATATTAGTAAAAGGTAAGGTTTTACAGAACAGTTTATCAACCCCCCTCATAAAGGGAGAGCTAGGCAAAACGTTGTAAATGTGTAAGAAGTCGGCAATTTTCTATAAAAAAAAAAAAATAAAAAAGATAAACAAAAATGTTTTATAAAATATTATCCATTAGTTGTTTGGAAACAGTAAAAATAATATGTGCTGCTATTATTTTTATTCTGTTTTCTATCAAACCTAAAGCAATTGAATTGCTGTTTATAAGTAATTTTCGAAATAGATAACTAAAATATGAAGGTTGGGATTAAACTAACTTTATTGGATTTCATGAATATTAACATAGAAAGGGGGAATAGAATATGACATAAAAATTTATCAAATTACATATTTAAAAAAAAATCTTTATAGGCCTATAAAAAAAATAACACCAATTGTTTAAAACAGAAGACTAGTAAAAATAAGAGAAGTTGGTGAAAAAATATTTTGTTGGTTCACTAATCATTACTGTCCATTTCTATCATATAACATTTATCTAATGGCAAATTTATAAAAAAAAAAAAAATAAAAAAATAAAAAATATATATATATGTATATGGATTAGTTAAAACTTAAGCTATAAATTAAAAACTATTTTTAAAGTATTCAAATTAAATATTTACAGCAAAGAAACACTGTTTAATTTTAGGAAACAATGTTTAATTTATTTGATACTCATTTAATAAAATCTCTATAGGTATTAATATACCCCATTTTCAATAGAATCTAAAAGGTTGTATAATATAATAATTAGATAGTCGTAATGATACAACGCAACGTAATGATGCAAAGAATGCATACAGCGTGCATAGCCCTCTTACCTTAAAATGCCCTTGGGCAATAAAAGGAAATTGAAAATTTATGTATATATACATTTATATATATATTGTATTTTGTAATCAAGAAATTCCTGGGGGGTAGGAAAAAAAAAAAAAAAAAAAAAAAAAAAAAAAGTAGAATCTAAAAGGAAAGAAAAAGATTTAATAAGCAAAATTGTTTTTAATTGTAAAGTATTTCTTAACCAGTTAGTGAATGCTGAGCTATATAAGGGTGGGACTTATATAGCTTAGGGAAAATCCCATATTTCTATTTTAGTAAACTTTAAAATAGAAAAATAAGAGTATAAGAACCAATAGTAGCAGGGTTGGCCATCTTCCCCAAGGTCTATGGCACATGACACCCTTACTTCTCAATTTTCTCTTTCCTCCCTCTCATCCCAATATATTTTATTTCTCTTCTCTTATTAAACAGTGCAACCGAAAATATAATTTTAAAAGCTTCAGATCATTATTATTATACAATTTACGGATTGTTTCATATTTTCCCTTGTCTTTAGATTTGAAAACTTTTAAAGATTTAATGCATATACTTTTGTTAATTCCTTGATACATCTAAAAAATATTTTAGCTAACATTAAATGTTTTAGAATATTACTATTATCAATTCTGCTTTTTTATAATAGGAATTTAATGTTAGGACAACTCACCGAAAGCAAGTTACTTAAGAAGAAGAGGACTTTGAGTGTTCCTCTGGAGTGATCCAAAAATGCGATAGGTGCAAGGGCGGACATGTGTATCACCTTCTCATTGTACTCTGGTCTCGTGGACATCAAGGCGAAGAACTGGGTCGTCCCCTGGGAATGGCCGATGTAGAAGAGTTTCTTGTGGTCCGTTTTGTTTAAGATGAAGTCGATAAAGGCAGGCTGGTCATAGTAACCCATCTCATGGAAGCTGGATCATACATTATCATTTATAATTTATAAAAAATAATAAAATACTTATTAAACCAAAAAGAAATGCTAGTTTGACATATCTATTTATTTTGTTGGTGTTAAAAAAAAAAATAATAATAATAACATGTTTCTTGATTATACTGCCTGGTACGCCTTCTTTTTAACTTCAACAATGTGCAATACGGAGATCCAATGTCCAAGTCAGAGAAACAGTGTTCAACAAGTTACCTATGTTCCTGACTTTGCAGATAACGATGATTTAATTGGAGGGACTTTTGGAGTGATAAGGAATGCCTGTCTCAATTTACAAAGAGAAATCAAGAGAATGGGATTCACTAATGAAATAAAGACTGAATACGCTAGTGAGTGCTAGGGCAGAGGTCAGCGGGGCAGTCATGTACAACTTTGAAAGTGTTGAAGAATTTATCCATCCTAGGCAAGTTTGTTTGCTCTGAATCAGTTATACTCCACTATGGATGATTGGCCCCGTTACCTCAGGACAACTAGGGACAATTTGTACTTTCATTAGGGTCCTCCCAGGAAAGGTGATTTCGCATATATAAATGACCTCTGTCAGTGTAAGTGTATTGTGTAGTGTCTTGAACTCAGGAAACTGAGGGAGTGTTAATTTCCCTAGTGTTGCAATTCAGGTAGCCACTGCAGTGATTGCCTCGAATATGGACAGACAAATCGTTCATGACATGGCACTTGAAGGTACATCAGAATTGGAACTTGGAATATTAATAGATTGAATGGCAAAAAGACAGAGATTGTGGAGGAGATAACGTCTTATGGTGCCGATATAATGAGGTATGTGTGAAGTGGAGAAAACATGGCATAGAGAAATACGTCAGGATGAACAACATATACTCATCTACCCTGGAGTTCCTGTAGGTTTTTGAGCAAAAGAGGGAGAAAAGAGAGATAATGAAAGAGTCTTTTTGCCAAAGTCGAGGACTGAGAATCTATTTCTTCCAGAATAATAGTAGCAAATATAGAATTGTCACTTGGTAAAGTAACTCTGACTCAGATCTATGCACCAACAGAAGATACAGATATTCTAGATGATGAGTGATTCCATACCTGCCTGGAAAGAAAAGTCACAAAATGGCAAAAAAGAAATTGAAATATAATTACAATGGAAGAATTCACTGCCAGAATCGGATGGAACTACATAGTCACACACAGAGCCATGAGGTATCATGGAGGTGAGCACACAAGCAATAGAAAAGGGGAAAAGCCTTATAGATTTCTGTGTTGATTATGACCTACCCATTGGGAATTACTTTAAACCATATAAGAGAATTCACAAAACAGTATAATCGACTACATCATGTACAATCTAAATTACACATATCTCCTGAAGAATCAGGAGACTGTTTAAAAACGTAAAAGTAATCAGAAACTGGCTGAGACCACCTTCTCCTTATAGAGGATACTCAAATTCTCTCTCCCAAAAAGAAATGGCATAGAAGCTATTTGAAGATTAACATTAAGAAACTTTAAACTCCTGAAAAAAAAAATATATATACAGAACTTCTTTATCGAAAGCTTCAGGAAATCAGTGTGGATGCTTTACAGGGAAAAATAAAAAATGCTACAGCGGACTTAGCAACCATGATTTGCAAGATCACAAAAATTTCACTGAAAAGCAAAAGATCTCAGTGGTGGAATGAAAGGGTGAAGGCAGCAGTCACAGGACGGTTGGAAGGGTTATATTAAAAACAAGACTCCAATAAATTGGGAACTTTATGCATGTAGAAGAAATGAGTCAAAATTCGCTGTTAGAATGGCAAAAAAGAAGAGGAGGCTACAAACAACTACCATTTAAATGTTAATGTTCTCTGGAAATAATTAAAGCAATAAAAACAAAAACAAAAATAAAATAAATCCATAAGAAATATAAAGGATGAAAGAGGCAGACTAATCACCAGAGATTCAGAAATTCTGGATAGATGGAAACCCCACATTATGCAGACAATGAGCAGTTAATCAACCAATGATGCAGAGAATACCCTAAATATATGTGAAACTACCCTAAAAGAATTTGAGGAGGTAAACAGGAGGAGGTTGAAAGTGCAGTAGATAAAACTAAACAATCGAACATGAGGATGATTTCGATGCAAGTTAGGGACATTGCAGATGACATCATTCACTTATCAGGAAATATGGGGGTCCTGAACTAATGAAAATTCAGGTCTCACCGTCGAACCCAAGATCACATATATTTTCAATGAATAATAATTGATCAGGCTTGGGAACAGAAAAGAAATATATTTTGAGAAAATAATATGAGCATTATTGAACAAAAAGGCTGGATTTGGTTCCTTCTCTAGACAAGAACTGTGGAAAGCGGTTATGAAAAAAAAATATCCCACTACAATTGATTAATGCTATACAGTACATGTACCAATACTCAAAAATAAGAGAGAAATTAGGCACTGTATCACTAAATGATTCTATAGAAAAATGGGAATTAAGAAAGTTTGGGTATGTATACGGAATGAATGAAAACCGTGACCCACGAAAATTCATACCTACAGCCAAGTGTGCAAGAGTAAGACCTAAATTGTCGCGAATGGACTACATCTTTCAGATTGGACAGAAAAAAGTTATAAAAGAGGCAATAAGGGATATAAAGGCTTTAATTCAGGACCGAAATACTTGGGATTCATGGATCGTGGCACCACCATGCTGAAAGGAACAAAATGAAGAAGAGAAAGAAGAATTCATCCACCTTGGAATCCAGGTGAACTTCAGATACGATAATAACTCCGAAATACATTGGCAAATAATGGCTGCAAGTAGGTGTGATTGTAGCATTCATACCCACCTCAAGAGCAGTAGTGTCTCCAGGATTTCCAAGATGCATAATATAAAACCTTATCAGACCCATGTTCAATTATGATTTTCTTATGAAAATTCAAGAATAGGCTCTTAAAATATTTGAGTGTTGAATTTTCTGCACAACTTGATAGTCAATGTTGCAGGCACCTTTCCTTACTCGTGGAGTGCACCACAAGTTAAGTAGAAGAAGAAACTTAAAATAATCTATTATTTCAGATGATGAAGTCAATTTTATCTAACATAGATAAACCATTGGCATATCTGTAATAATTTTATCAAAGTTACCTGAAATCCCAATATTTCTTTTTATCAGAAGATTTATTAGGATCAAGAGTTGTGTGTTTGAGACTGTAGGTGTTTCCTCTGTTGTTGGGCATCCAGACATCATAACCATAATCCGCCATGATAAAACCTGAAAATAGAGACATGTTAGCAGATGTTATCTAACAGCTGCAGAATCCTTCAGCTACCTATTGAGAACTGACCTAGAGCTTGGTCGGGCCTGGAGATGACCCAGCATGCAGAGCTGGCGAGGATACCATGTTGGACTATCACAGGTCTTCCAATCTTCCCCTTATTGTTCTTGCCATAAGGTATTCTGTGTAGGCTGAGGATGTAACCATCTTCTGTCACCACTTCGTGTTCTTCAAACGGGTATCCTTGTCCGAGCACTAGTTTAGACTGCAACAAGGACATTTTTGTTTAGTATATAATACTTTTTTTTGTTCATTTTTTAGTGGTAACATACTATTTTTTAAATTAATGTATATAATATCAGAATTTTTATAAGTTAGTTTTTGGCTAGATTTGTATTTTCTTTTGTATTCATTCATCATTGTTATTCTAAGGGGACTTAGTTCCAGAATAAAGTTCAATTTTCTATTCTATAAGACATAGTAATAATTTAAGACAACTAAAACTCATAACAAATGAAAAAAACAAAACAACATTGTTTGCATACTGTCTGAAAATGTTATAAAAAATTAATACAAAAGGTGTGTTTGATTTAACTCTAAATCTTAAAAATATAGATCACATATCCAGAATGAAAGAACTAAAACTGAAAATTTCTTAGGTAAGATATTTTAATTGGTTGGACCTCTATCATTCTAAAGTACCAGCAATTCAAACTAATGGACACAATATCTAATCTACCAGCAACTTTCCTGTATGAAACCAAAAAAATTAGAAACTTTTCAAAATAAGATCCTGAGAACTGCAGTAGGTATATATGGAGGCCATTCTCTTACTCACTAAATCACTAGTTCATTCCCAACAATGATCAATAAAAATAACGAATGCAAACTTGTGTATTTATAGGCAATTCCTAATCATTTTCAAGTTCTTTTCGTTTAATTATTACTACAAATAACGAGCTAGTGTCAGGACTTGAAAATTATTTTGCAAATAAAGTCATTCAAAATTAGACATGACTTAAGTGTTAAAGATCCTCTAACAAGTGTTATGTAAAAAAAATGTAAACCAGACAGCACAACTGATGTAATCCTAGTTTAGTTCTAAACGCATTTAAAAATATTCGGAAAACTTATTTAGGAAAAAAAAAACAAGCAATGAAACCTTGACATAAAGAAAAGAGTTAAAATATAACTGTACTATTAGCAACTAATTTTATTAACGAATGATAGTTGATTTTTATTAAAGAAATATTTATCATTTATTGCTGACTGCGTTGTTATTACAGTAAAATAAATATTTGATGTCATACAAATATCTATTTATAATACATCTATGTTAAATCAAGTAGATGTAATAATAATGATTTATGCAATCTTCCCATCTTCCCTCCAGTCTATCCCACCGACTTTATCATTCCCTACAGCAAATATTAACCTTTTAGGAATTCTCTCTTTACTAAGCCCAACAATTTTACAAGCCCATTTGATTCACCGCGATGAAATCACCTCAATTATATTATCCCGATACAGTTCATGCAATTCGGCCTTGTGTAACCGAAATATTTATATATACATAATAATTATATATATAACCATATATATATATATATACATATATGAAATATATAGTAAAGGAAATTATAATGATCTTGAAAATTTTCGAATCTCAGTTTTCAATAGAAATACACGTTTTGAGGTCCCCTGAGTCCAAATAATAAGCAACTCCCACAAAATGGTCTGTGTGTGTTTGTGTGTATGTATATGTCTATGTGTGTGTTAACAGTCTAGCTCAAAAATAAAAAGTAGTACGGAAGTGAAATTGCATTACTAAGGTTTTTATATGCCTGGGAACAATTTCGTCAATATCGGCTAACCGGAAGTGACACTTAATATAACCGATTTTACACATTTTTACGATTTTCTCGAAAACGTCTCTAACAATTTTGATTAAATTCATTATATCTGAGTAAAATTAAGCAGTTTTTAATATAATGTAGATTTTATTCTCATTGATGTTCTCTGACAGGGCTTAAATGGCTGATTTGCAATATTACCTTCCTTTAAAGTGCCTTTAATTTTTTTTATTTGAAATAATTAGCCTTTCCCATTGATTTTGGATACAAAAAAGTATTTAAATATAAAATATGAAAGAGTTTGATAATTCACTTTATCCTTAAAATGCCCTCGAGCAGTGGAAGGAATTTGTTACATGTATATGTTGTATTGTTATGTATACTATATATGTAAATTGTTTCAATAAACATTTTGAAGGGTAAGAAAAAAAAAAGTTTGATAATTTACTAAAGGAGAAATATGTGATCTTAACGGATAATAGTTGAAATGGAGGAATCAAAGGAATACGAGCGCATCCGAGCTCACCGGCGAACGATTATGGCAGGCTTCCATACTTGACATGAGCTTAATAATATATGGACTCCGGCAATATTATGTACATATACATATGCGGTTTTCGTAAATGCTATCGTTAGTATTATTTAATATTCAATTTTAAAGATTACAGCGATATACAGCAGTACAGCGGCCGTATTAAACCTCTTGAAAGACCATTTTGTCATTGACTTTAATAAATTTAATCACCGTTTTCTAAAAAAAATGCTTCTACTTTACAATGGTGTGCTTAAAATTTCATTATCTTGAACAGTTTGTGAGCGATTCCTTCTTATTTAATGAAAAATGTGACCATCTTAAGAAAACACAAAATTCGTCCTAAATCCTTTTCCGTTCTGAATCAAACTTTTTTTTAGTAAATTTTGTTTAGAATCATCTACCAAAGTTTGACCATTAATTACTGAGCACACTGTATATCATCTTTCGTTACCAGAAATTATTTTATTCAGTTTTTTTTAAATTTATTACATATATATATATATATATATATATATATTATATTTAGGCTTTTAATATTTATTTTCATATTTATTTTCATTTAAAAAAGGAGACTCAATTTTTTTTTTTTTGTGTATGTTACTAATTTTCTGATTACATATTAGTACATTATAATTACATTTCTTACTTAATGTAAACAAATATGACATGGAGGTGTTTTGAAAAATAAAAAAAAAGATATAAAGATATATCGATTAGAATAGAATTTCTTTTACCTCAATGGCAAATTTCCCATAAACAAGTGGCTTCTATCAAATAAAATAATTATAATAACATTCTTCATTATTCTTATTGTACTGTTTAGATTTCAATTGCTTCGAGATAAGAAAAGAATTTAATTCAAATCAATCTATTTACTTAAAACTGGTTATCTGCTATAATCGAAATCTTCAAATTGAGTTTTTTTTTTTGTTAGAGTTATGTTATTTTTTGTTTTGTTTTTAGCATTGATGTAGTGATGTAACAATTAAGAAGATGTAAATGTATTGTACTTACATACTTTTATTGGTAAGCTAGATTTATTATTCATAAATAATTATACTAACTAATTTATGTAAATGCCAATAAAGATCTACAATACTGAGGTTTCAAACGAAAGAGAATTTCATGAAAAAGTGATGAATCTCCATTTCAAAACGTAAGGTCTTACCATAGCTACAACAATAATCATTGAAAACAATTGGCGGTTTTAAATTATTATTATGACAAAAAAAAAAAATGAAATAAATAAAAAAACGACATTTTTTATTTTTTTTTTATTTCGAAATACTCTCTTCTTTCTAAATTCTAAAGGTTCTCACTTTTCCCATGTTATTAAGTTCTTCGAAATCATACTTATGGAATTTTTTTTTTTGCTTCCTCACTACCGAAGGTAACGAAGCTTTGTATTGGTGCCAGAGATCGAAAATTTCCAATCGCGTTTTACGTTTCAGACATTAAGGATCAAATTTGGTTCGGTGTCTGTCTGTAGTCAAGTCGATGCGAGCGAGATATCAACAGCGACCGTTCATCCGGTTTATGCAATATTCAGGAATTGTGCGGGTTGGTGCCACATCAATTTAATCAAATTCCATCCAGGAATTGCGCTTGCGCACGCATAAATGTATTTTCTTAGATAAACCAATATTTCAGAAACGGCTCGTTCGATTTGGCTTGAAAGGGGATTTTGGTAAAATAATGATTCTGTATCCATTTTATAATTCCGTCCTTTACATTCTCTTAGGTTTTCCTTATGTCTATGTCTCTAAAGCCGCACATTCGATTTGGCTCAAACTTGGAGGGAAGTTAGGGTTTGATAAACAGATGACTGAGTATGTATAAATTTTATCAAATTCTACCCGCTACTTAAAAAAAAAATACTTTCAGATCAGAAAATGTATTATTTGGTGCGCCTAGAGTTTGAAAACGGCTCGTTCGATTTTACCCAAACTTTGAGGAAATTTGGAGAACAGTATAGAAATTGCCTACTATGAATTTCATTGAATGATAATTAATAGTTAAAATTAATATCAATAACTGTTAAGAATACAATGGCATTGAAATGTGGAAGGCATTATTATATGGGATGGCGGTTAGGTTAATACAATATTTTTTTGAGGTTATAACATTTTAGGTTTTATTCAAAATGTTAATTTATACAGTATTTTTTGGATGATTCCAAACGTTACTGGCATGGACACTTACTGCCGTCACTTAGCTTTCGTGCGATTTTAAATTAATTTGTACTCTGAGTTCGTAAAAAAAACCAAAACCACAATGCTTCTGTTGAATTTTAAACAGCTCGTCGTCTGTTAAATATCAATGTTGCAACTTCGAATTAGTTTTGTTTTGACTGAAGAAAAATATTGGTCCCAACTCTGAACAAATAAAAAGTTTATTTTCCAATGGATTTTTGTTCCATCCATTTTCCGAGTGCAAACACAGCTATTAAGTATCGCTACTGTTAATGCAAAAGGTCGTGTGTAAAAATTTTTAATTTTTATTCTATTTGTGCTAAAGGTGACATTCTGTGGTCTGCAACAGATATAGGTAGTCTGCTACTATGTAAAATAGCAGATGGCAATAAAATATAAACTTAAACTAATAAATCATAAAGCAATAACAATTAGTTTTTATGATTTTCATCAAATACTCAATTTTTACATGTGACCTGTTGCACTAACAGTAATGATATGCATGTTCATTATGTACTGAATTTTTTTTTTTAATCACGATTCATCAAATACGCGATTTCCAAATGTGGAATTCTTCCTCATTTTAGTATTCACTGATGAACGTAACTCGTGGATATGGAACCCATGAATGTTGAGGAATTACTGTATTTTCGAAAACGGTTCCTCGCGCAGATTTTATTCTCATATGAAAAATTATGGACCTCGAAATCTAGATATTATTCATCCAATGAAAACGGTGAGGAAGCTACACTTGCTTTTTCATAACAAATATTTATTTGGCCTACTTTACTGGAAGCGCCTTTTGGTTTTTCTAATTTATGATTCATTAAATCTCATTTAGTACAATAATCAATTTTTTTTTCATTCCAATCTGCAAAAATAAAAAAAAGTCGATCGATATATAATAACCTAAAAGTCCGGACAAAGAAAAGACAAAAATAAGTATCATAAATTTCGTTTTAAATTATATAAAATATTCTATTTCTCGATTCTTGGGGCTTATTAGAATAAAAGCGAAGAGTTGTGTTTAATATATATAAAAAAAAATGTTATGTTTAAATGTTAATCGGTGACACACAGACTGTAGAGTCCCCTAATAAGGAAATTACTAATAGTGATACAGGAATTCATTAGAACTATGAAAATATTAGCCACATAAACTCTATTTTTTAAGTAAAGGCTAACCGATACGATGTAACATGCTATACGATAGGTACGCGTCAGGCAGTTCAGATACCCTTAGACACACATCTTATCAGAAAAAATATTCACAGAGCTTGTTGATTAGTAAGAATATTTGTCTTGACACACGCGATGTTGTATGATACAGTGTTGAACTATATTATATATTAGTGCTCAACAGAAAATATATCTTATTCTATCTGCCCATGGTTCAGGGAAACCTCATGAAATACATCTATTCTGTCTTAAGTGAATGTTTGATCCATCAAAGGTTCAGAGCGAGAACTGATTGTTTCAACTTGATCCTTATCAGTACAATATAATTGGAGAAGAATACTTTCTCAAGAATACTTGGTGATAATATGTGAATGATCAAAATGCAATTGAGACAAATGAAGATAAATTGATAATTACAAAGTCCAACAATTAACACTTAATCCAAGGCAAAGGTCGTAGACTGCATTCTTTATACATTATTTGCAAGTGCACTCAATTTTCTTGCTATGAAGATATCTTTCGTTATATTAAAATTGATCGATTTAAAATTAAGACATTTATATCTGTATTATTTACTTTTTAATAGTTTTTAAGTTTAATATGTTTGAACAGGTAGATAAATTTAGGTATCTAGGTTCTACGATAACTAGAAAAAACGAAATTGAAGAGAAGATTAAGGTTAGACTGAAGGCGGAAAATGCTTGTTATTTTTCTGTGACAAAACTACTTAGTTCGCGTCTCTTGTTCCGGAACTTAAAAATTAGAATCTATAAAACAATTATCTTGTCTACAGTTCTTTATAGATGCGAAACTTGGCCGCTTACATCAAGGGATGAGCAGCATCTTAAGGTTTTTGAAAATAAAGTATTGCGTAGAATATTCGGACCGAAGAAGAATGAGTTAACCGGAGAGTTCAGACGGTTACACAACGCCGAATTGCGTGAACTGTATCCGGGTAATATAATTGAGGTAATTTCAGACCATTTTGTGGGAGTTGCTTATTATTTGGACTCAGGGGACCTCAAAACGTGTATTTCTATTGAAAACTGAGATTCGAAAATTTTCAAGATCATTATAATTTCCTTTACTATATATCTCATATATGTATATATATATCTGGTTTTATATATATAATTATTATGTATATATATATATTTCGGTTACACAACGCCGAATTGCGTGAACTGTATCCGGGTAATATAATTGAGGTAGTTTCATCGTGGCGAATCAAATGGGCTTGTAAAGTTGTTGGGCTTAGTAACGAGAGAATTCCTAAAAGGTTAATATTTGCTGTGCTGAATGGTAAGCGTCCGAGGGGTAGACCGAAGCGAAGGTGGGAAGATTGCATTAAAGCCGATCTGAAGGAACTGGGTTTGGACAGCGAACGGTGGAGAGAGGTGTGTAATAAGCGATTGGTGGTGTCAGCATCGAACCTTCGGGTTTGCTAAGCCTTTCATTATTTATTTATAATAGTTTTTAAGTGAGTGTTGAATTGGATGACTGTCCAAGTTTTAGGCTTTCGGTAATATGCCGATGGATAATTTGGTAAAAATAATGATTGCAGTAATGATCACCTCTATATAAAAAGGAAATTAGTGCTTGTCTGCTTACATAATAATATATAGTACTTTTGGGTTGCAATAGAATGGCTTAAAGTTTAAAATTTGTTAACTCCTATTAATAATTCTTCTGCTACAATGCTACAACAGACCTGCAAAGATAGGAACAAGATTTAAATCTCTATAAATCATTGAGATGGAAACTTTTTTTGGAAGAATTGACAAGAGAGAGTAACTGGCAATGTATACTGAACTTCAAGACCAAATATGTGACTCTGTGAAAATCATCAGTACTAATTCACATAGCTCACTAAATGAAACTATCTCCTATACTGATCCCTAACAAGAGTTAAAGGATTAGCTTATGAAGAATGACAAACGCAGTTAGGGAATTTACATATCTTTAGGCAGACAGAGCTCAACATTTTTTAAGTTTAGGTAATAGCAATATAAATATCTGTGATAAAATAATATATATATATGAAAGAATACATATATATAAAATAGATATATAATATAATGTATGAAAATTTAAAAAAGAAATGATTCTATGGTAGAGAAGGTAGAGGTGTATATATATGTAGTCACATGTGTCAAATAAGACATTGTAACTTATGATTTTATAAATCTTGATAAATTTGATTAATTTAAAATTTGGTTCATTCAAACGAAAAACTAGCTTCTCGAAAACTGATAGATTTTTTATTTTGATAATATTGTAAATTTCAGAAAATATCAATGTTAGACTTTCCGTGAGCAAAATAATATTCTCATTTTACTTTTTAATACTTGTAAATGAAACAGGATCTACGATTTATTTTTTAACCTTTTTTTTTTACTCATACCGGTTGATTCTCTCCCATGAATTGTTCTTCATTTTCCATATGGTTTTTATTTGTATAAATAATAACATTTTGACTGCACACCCTACCCATTTTTTGTCCTTACTTTTTATTATCTTTAATATATAATGTGTGACGCAGAATCTTATCAACGTTTATTGTTAATTTTAAAGGATTTCAAGTCAACGGTGGCAGCTTGTAGAAGCCATCGTTTGTTAATTATTGGCGTAGACATCACAGTGAAGATTTTCGAACAAATTTCAAACGATTCCAAAAAGTCCAAATAATTGCAGTGAAGCAAATGCACAGAATCACCCTTCAGAACTTCCAAAATTACCTAAAATTTGAAATGGTTCTCGATGAGCAAAATAAATGTGTCTTTGCTCAATTGATGAGGATTTCTATCGTGAAGGAATTTATAATAATTCAGTGAAGATTGAAATTTTTGGTTAGCCAGATCCAGCATATATACTATACGTTTTTGATTACTTCAATTAGGCTCACGAGCTTACCATTTATTTTATCGCCTTGAAAATCCGGTCCTGGGTAGCTTAGACCAACAGCTTTGAATGGGTATTCGTAATTTTAGTCCAGAGAAGAACGTAAAAAGTAGAATTGTCGACTGTTTTACAGTGTACCGCGGCGCCGCACACAGAGTCTCCGCCGAATGGCGGAAAAAACCTATTTTTTGAAGGTATTGCAAAAATTACTTTCTTTTCGTCATTGATAATAGTTAAATACGACATTTCACTAATTTATTTGATAAGATATTAATTTTTAAACTAACAACGAGCTTTGTAGATCACGCTTAAATGAAGTTATTCACGAATTTTCAGACAAGTGTTATTAGTTTGATAAGAAAGGGTCTGTACAGCGGACTGAACAGTTTCAACCGGATTGATAGAAAATTCTACATATATTGAAAAAAATATACTGAGGACATTTTTCAAAATTGGTTTGTTTTTCCGTATCCTCTGCCCTACCCCCATGCGTTCTGATATATACATATATACAACGTTCAGAACATTGCAATGCATCAACTTACTTTTGGTCCATGACACCCTCTCTTAGTAAGTCTCAACTCTCTTAGTAAGGACTCAACTGATAACAGCTCTAGATGTTATCCCAATTGATAATGAGGATACTCCATGTTACTACGAGTGTGTCTCTTATCTTTCTCTATAATTTTCGTCTTCAAAATCAACGCCTTATCTTTTTTAATTAGCTCTACACAATAAGAAATGAAAATATTGAAATCTTTATCTCGGAACGGTTCTCACGTGTATGAAATGTAGAGTGACATAAGCTTTATACATAGAGTGAAAAGATATGTGAGGAACATAATGGTTAGGAAGAGAATCGATAGTTACCACAGCGAGGTCATCTTCGGCGGCAGAGTGGTGGAAGTAGCAGAAGAGTGCGATGAAGAGGAAGTGGACGGAGCTCATCGTGTCCGACACTGCGGCTGGATTGTTCTGGCTTCGTCTATATCAAGGGTCTCTTCAGTCATATCATCGCTGCTTTCGAGTGTTTTCATGTTTCATGTTTTTGTTTCTTTTCACAATAATTGCGGCCCCTCCCCCGGAAATCAATACAAGATCTTGTGGCGAAATAGATAAGATACCTAGAGTGGTACGGGGGCGGATCCAGAAATTTTGTTTAGGGAGGGGGAGAATTGATATAAAAAGAATAAATCAAACTTTATAAAGCTATACGTTTGGTTTAACTTTCTACTCTTTGAATCCAAACCACGATGCACGATGTTGGTCAAGAAAACATCACATACTAAATTCACAATAAAGATTTTTTCGAAAAGTTAATGAAACCTATGAATATCATTTGAGGTATAAATAAATCTTGTGAAGAAATTATGATGACGTGATGACCGAACAAGTCCGAGCGTAGCACCTAGAGTGTTCGGTACTAAACGTTCTAATCGATTCTCTGGGTTGGCGTCGTCAACTTCAAGGTAACCTTGGTCAGGCTATAGCAAAGATGTCCATGATGGCCGCTTATTAGAGTAATTCCCTCCATCAGTATCAGTACCAGTACCAGTATGCACAGGCGGATCTACGGGGGGGAAGGAGCTTTCGGGCTGAAGCCCCCCCCCACAAAATGGCAAAATATTACCATGTTTTACAGAAAAAAATATTAAAAACTATCTCTTAATGTATTCTTATTTGTGTAATTACATTTAATAGAACTTCAAGAACCGATTAAACACCATTTCATATAGATTGTTAATTTCTATCTTTTTTTTCTAATTAATCATTTTTATATGTATATGAAAAAAAATCTTTCGGGCTGAAGCCTCCTCCCCCTCCAAAAAAAATTAAATTCTGGATTCGCTAGTGCCAGTATGAGAATTTATCCAAAGTATGACAATTCTGTGCACCATACATTTTCGATTTGTCAAGTTGAAACTAAATTTTAAAGTTTTTGATTATTATTATAGGAATTCCATTTACTTTTCCATATCATATTAAATAAATAAACTATTAGCTATAACAATTAAAATTCATTCATTTTTCAGTACTATCTATTACCTTCTATACTTTATATGTTAGGTATTAATTTTTCTGAAATATTTTGTTTTCCCGTGGTAACTTATTCATCTACCATATATTACTGTTTTTATTTCAGGCTGTATGTTTTCTACCTGTGGAAGTATTTCTTACCTATTTTGGTTTATTATTTTGAATAACGAACCATTATTTTAATCGAACGAAAAATTCAAAAACTTAACCCCCTTTCAAAATTTGACGTTTTACGTTTTAGGATACATAGAATTCGAAAAACGGATAAAAATTTTTTTTCCCGTCCGCGCGTTTTCTCCAAAACTACTGGACCGATTTTTTCCAAATTTGGATTTATTCATAGTTTGGGCAATTATACTTCAAATTTTCTTCAAATCCCTTTAATCACATTTATTATCTCTAACATTTCGGGACAATTTTCCCATCATCAGAGCAACCCTTATCTTCACTGAAACTATGCAAATTTTAAATAAACTATTTTTACAGTGCCAATCTACTTCATCTATTGTACAATTATTTGCCTTGATTTTTTGATGTGGCACCATTTGTCAAAAATTCAAATATTTGACACATTCATAATTGGTAATTGGTTGACTGTCGTGGATAATGAAGAGAAGAATAGTTGGGGTGTTCAGTCAAAAAGGAAGGCAAAAATAAATTATAAAATTAAATTTTTCATATGCCGACGTTTCGACCTGAAGTTCAGGCCTTCATCAGGGCTAAGAAAATAACCAGATAACAAGGTATGAGAAACATAAGTAATGATGGTTAAAAAGATAATAAAAAAAAAATTAAATAAAAAAAATTATTAGAAAAATAAAATAGATAAATATAAAGTAAAATGAAATTGTTAGAATAATGACTAAGAACTAAGAGATAAATTATTATTATAATTATTATAATAGAAATAATATTATTATTATTTATCTCTTAGTTCTTAGTCATTATTCTAACAATTTCATTTTACTTTATATTTATCTATTTTATTTTTCTAATAATTTTTTTTATTTAATTTTTTTTTTTTTATTATCTTTTTTACCATCATTACTTATGTTTCTCATACCTTGTTATCTGGTTATTTTCTTAGCCCTGATGAAGGCCTGAACTTCAGGTCGAAACGTCGGCATATGTAAAAAATAAATATTATAATTTATTTTTGCCTTCCTTTTTGACTGAACACCCCAACTATTCTTCTCATCTTTGTCACATTCATTTTATATTTTTTTGGTGTTACACATCTTTTGTTATTCATTGTTACACTAACTAACATCTGGCTATCTTCAGTTTCATTACTGTACTTTGTACATGTCCTCGTATTTCTTATTATGGCTGTTTGTTGTGTTTTTTTTGTCTATTGTTGTTTTTTGAATTTCAATATTGGATATAATGTCCGAATTGTGTGTACCTAAGTGTTTTGTATCTGTTTTATAGTTTACTGTTCTATTATTGTTTTTCTTGTATGTATGGCTTCCAGCAGTTTCCTATTGTTTGTTTTTGGTTCTATTGCAAATATTTGTGGGTTTTTGAAGTTAAATGCGTGTAGTTATTTAATACTATGGTTTGCTAGGGCTGTTATGTTAATGTTTTTACTATTTTTGCAGTTTGATGTATGTTGTGATATTCTGGCTTTTAGTTGTTTTTTTTTTTTTGTATGTTTCTCCTATATGTATTTGTAGAGAATGTTAGCAGTCTAACTTATAAACAACATTTTTCTTGTCCAGTGCTTCTATTTTGTCTTTTGTGTTTGTCAAGTATTTACCTAATTTTTTGTCATACATGCCAAATTGAATTTCCGGTAGGTCATGTTCTGCTGCAAAGGTTATATCTTATTTTTGGATTTTGATTTTTGAATGTGTTACTGAATAATTTGCAGCGTTTTTTATTTAGTTATCACATTCTATCATACTTCATATTTAATCACTTGGTGTTATTGTAAATAACCACTAAATGATTGTTAATTATTTCTAATAAACAAAATTAGAGGGGTTTTAAAGGAAGAAATATTGATATTTAATCCCCTTCAAACAGCTTTAACTATGATAAATATTATTTGACATAAAAAAAAAAAGTTTTATTCTACATCGATATAATTTGTTTGGTCAAATTATTTATAAAAAAACATTTTAGGTTTTATATTGAAATAGATAAATAAATTAAAAAGTGTACCAAATAATTCTAAATCTGTAAAAAATGGAATAGAACGGAAAACAAATTGGTGCATCACAGAACTTCTATTTACCTACTTTCCTATCCTACCATCCTAATTTAAAAAAAAATAATTAATTAATTTTTGTTCATATCAATAAATAAATAAACAATAATGCTTTTAGGGAGGTTTTTAATAATAATTTTTCTTTATACATGGTTATATTTGTTAGCTGTTAACTTAAAAACAGAGATATCGTTATCCTGAACAACGCCCCATAAGCCACAAATGGCGAAGAAGGCGGTAAAAGAACAACAAAAAAACAACAATCACATTTTGTCCATCAGGAAATCAGTTTAAATTAAAACAGATTCAAAGATTATTTAAGTAAAATAATGTTAATTTATAAATATCTTAATAAATTTAGTGCATTCCACCATTTTATTCTTACTACGTTATTTACAAATTGGTAAATGATGTTCATGTTAATGAAAATAAAAAACAAATTATTGTTGAATTTGTTAGTTTTACTTATAATTTATTTATTTAAATAAAATTGAAAGAATAAAAATTTATCTGTTTTGGCCATATAAAATAAAAATAAAATGCCTAGAAATAAAAATAAAAATATTAGAACTTGACCTAGTGTGAAACGACACAGAATGAAAAAAAAATCTGTGAGCAAGGCGTCGCATTTCAAATCTTATGAACTTAAAATTTATCTCAAAAGATGACAACTAATACAAATTAATATATGTATTAATAAATATATATGGCCAAAACAGATAAATTTTTATTCTTTCAATTTTATTTAAATAAATAAATTATAAGTAAAACTAACAAATTCAACAATAATTTGGTTTTTATTTTTATTAACATGAACATCATTTACCCATTTCTAAATAACTTAGAAAGAAAAAATGGTGGAATGTACTAAATTTAATAAGATATTTATAAATTAACATTATAAGATATTTTTGTAGTTCATGTTTATTTGAAAAACAAATTAGAATTATATATAGGCTTGTTTCACTATCGTTTAAACGATGCCGGGTAGCTTAGTTTCGGGACATAGAGTAATAGGAAGCTTTCACACTAACTCGACTTATGTCGTTGTCGTTTAAACGACTCGAATTTGTCTTGCTGTCATCCTAATGACAAACAACAGTCTTGATTGTCGGATAAACGGCAGATGACAGTCGTCATAGTGGTAGCCTGCAACATTTGGACGACTGCCGGTGTCGTCATAGTAATTACGACAGTTCCTCATTATAAACTAGATCTGCTGAGGACCCAAGCTTCCGGGACCTTTAACAAAGACGACTGGAGCTGAGAACGGATGTAAGTGTAGGAATGAATGCCTTGGAGAAATATGCTCACCGAAAGAGTGCATACACGCAGCAGCTGCAGAAGCCCTCGGTTTGGAGGAGAGGCACCCTAAGCGGAACTGGTGGTCGCACGAGGTGACACGCTTGTGGGTCATACCTGAAGCGGAATTTCAGTAGTATCTTTCCTCGAAAACAAACGAAGATTGGATTGACTATAGAAAACTTAATAAGGACGTAAAGAGACTTGTGGATAGTGAGAAGAATGCCTCATCGGAGATATGTGCTGCTAGCGCATTTATAATGCACTAGGATACAACAGAGTCAGATATTACTGGGGAAATTCAGAAGAAAGAAGGACAAGAACGCCGGATGTTGCGGCAAAGGTCACCATGGAGGAATTGTCTCAAGCTCTGAAAAAATCAGTTTTAGTTTTAGTTTTGTCTATGTCTATCTTAGGGA